GAAACCCGAAAGGCAAGGACGGCAAGCCTGGAGTAGATGTTCCAGGTGGCGGGTGAGGGAGGGAGCTGGCTTGGAGGTGAAGCCTCCGTCTCCGCCGCCCTGTTCTCTCCAAGGGTGGGCCGGCCGGCGTTCGGGGCCCCTTTCTCCCGGGGTCTTGACTGCAGCAGGGCCTTGCGCCCCTGGGCTGAGCGCGACCGCAGAAGGCCCATCGTGTGACGATGGGCAGAGAGTAAAGAAAGAAAGGGCTGGGCCTGTTTACACGGCCTCTGTCTTCATTCACAGCCCGGTGCGTCTGCACTGTGACGGCCACAGCGGCACTAAGGGTCTCACAGTGACCCCAAACACATCCAAACCGAGGAAGGGGCACGGAGACGAGAGCCGGCAGGAGGCCGACACCCGAGGTCGTCGCCTCCGGGCAGTGTGGCTGCTCCGGGCTCACCACGGCCGGGAGCCCAGGCGGCGGGCGAGGCGGCCCTGCGGCCCTGCGACGCCGAGGGGCGCTGACCGGCCACTCCGCGCGGTCCGCTCCGCCCGGAGGGCCCCGCCCGCCCCGCCCCCGGCCGGCCGGCAACAGGTGGAAGGGTGAATAGCTTCACACGTCCCGGGGGCGGGGCGGGAGGCGCTCGGGGCCGATTTGGGGATTAGATCAGATGTTATTGCTGGTGAAAAATTAAACAGGCCGGTGCTCCGGGGAGCGCAGATTAATACGTTCGGCGGCGCGCGCACAAAGGCGGCGCATTGTGGCCGCGCTGAATGCCTGTGAATGGGATGGAACATATGCGGCCCGCCGCCGCAGGTGCTCACATCTGTTCTCCCGGCAGATGCTCGCAGAGAGGGGCGGCCGCCGCGGCGCGGGCTCCAGGTGCGCGCGCGCCGCCTCCAGGAAGGCCTCCGGAGCGCCCGGGCGTTCCGCGGGGCGGCGCGGGGCGGCCGCGCAGCTGCCGCGTCACCCGAGCCGGACAAAGGCGGGCCCGGGCCGGGCAGGTAAACAGCGCTTTGTCATGGAGATGAGGGGCGGCCCGGCAGATGACGCGCGGGTCCGGGCCGCCAGCTGAGCCACGCGACTCGCCCTTTCTCATGCAAAGCAGCACATGCCTTTGCAAGCCCGCCCGCCGCCCGGCCCGCGACCCCCGGGACCCCCGGGACCCGCGGACGCGCCGCCGCGCCGCGTTCCTCCGGAACCGGGCCCCGCCGGCCCGGCCCCGGCTGCTCCGAGGGCACGGCCCGCGCCGGCCCCGGGTCTCGCTCGCGCGCCCAGTCCCCCGCGCGGGCCGGAGCGGGCCTGCCCCGCACTGCACACTGGGTGCGCACGCCGCCTCCTCCGCCGCCTCCCGGTCCTTCCTCTTCCTCCTCCTCCGCCTCCTCTTCCACAGCCTCTTCCTTCGTGTCCTCCATCTCCTCTTCCTCCTCTTCCTCTCCCTCCTTCTCTTCCTCCCCGCCTCCTCCTCTTGATCTTCCTCCTGTTCTTCCCCCTCTGCTCCCCTCCCCCTCTTTCTCTCCCCATTCTCCTCTTCCTCCTCCTCCTTTCCGCTCCCCCCTCCCTCCACCGCCATCACCTGCTCCATGGCACCCAGAGATCAGACCCTTTCCTTGGACTGAGGCAGGACTGGGTGGGCCCAGCACTGGTCCCACCCGTTGCTGAGGAGAGGCAGTTTCATTTGCTCAAGTGCCGGCCCTGGGCCTTTCTTCCCTGGGGGACAAGTGGAATGCAGAGAAAACCCTGGGGTCCTCGCCAACGGGAGTGCCCCTGTAGTCGTGGCTGTGGTTCCACTCACCCCACCCTGAGCCTACCCCGGAGTAACCGGGGTTGTTGGGACTCAGAGCTGTGCAGACCTGGCAAAGCCAGCGGCGCCAGGCAACAAACACTCTCCCCGCTGCAGGCTCTGGGGTGCTGGTGCCTTCTAAGCCCTAATGAGTCTCACTTTGTCCGGAACATTTGCTGAGGCATCAAAAAGTATTTAAAAGAAAGTTTCCTGCTTTTCCCTAATGAGCAAGGTGAGGATTTATGGTGTGGGGGAGGAGGGAATCTGGTGGCCTGGCCGCCGTGGAGGCAAGCCTATTTAACATAGTCCAGCTTAAGCTCCCTCCTGCATTTAGGGGTTCAGAGTGCTTAGTTGCGGGAGTATAGAGACATGCAGTTAGGGAGTGAAAAAACGCCATTTGGTTCGGAGCAGATGGCTGGCTAGGGGGCTGATGGCGTCTAAAGGCGTGTCATCCCCTTCAGCCTGAATCCCTAAGGGCTCCCCTTGTCTTCCCAATCAATGAAAATTAAAGTGCAAAGAAAGGGTGAATAGTTGGACCTCGAGTCTCTCCTTTGTTCATCCCAGCTACTGGTGTGCAGGAGTTAAACTACAACAGGCCCCTATAGTTAAACAGTCTCCCTCACTAGGCTTTGAAAGGAAGAGGGGGGGGAGAGGAACCAACGTGAGTAGGAGGGGGCAGAGGGGAGAGAGGGAGACTGGAGGAAAGGAGAGAGAGGGGGTAGAGAGGAGAGGAAGGGAAGAGGAAGAAGGAAAGGACAAGGAGGAGCAGGAGGAGCAGGAGGAGCAGGAGGAGGAGGAGGAGGAGGAGGAGGAGGAGGAGGAGGAGGAGAAAGGGGCTTTCTGCTTGATTTCCCCAACACAGAATCGCGTGGCATAAATTAAGTTGGAAAAGAATGAATGCTTCGGGCAGGATTCTGATGGATTTTACGATGCCTTTCAGTTCCGCTTTGCCGCTGTAATCGAGAAATCTGTGCCGTGTCAATTTAACAAATACTTGATACTGAGGGGGTTTGTTAAGGGTTCGGGGCAAGTCTTCCCCCACCCTGAGGTTTAAGCCCTTGCGCGTGGAACTTTTTATTTCCAGCTTTCTAAACAGTCATTCAAATGAACCTGTTTCTCACTTCCACTTTCTAATTAAAAGTTTCCTGATATTTTATTTCTTACTGAAATCTGCTCTCTGTCTTGAAAGCAGAGAGGATTTAGAGCTCACTTTGCTTTCTTTTGTGCTTTTGTGGTATCTTCCCTGATCCCAACCCCCCCACCCCCCTTGCTTGCCATCTCTCTCTGTCTCTCTCTGTCTCTGTGTCTCTGTCTCTGTCTCTCTCTCTCTGTCTCTGTCTCTCTCTGTCTCTCTGTCTCTCTCTCTCTCTCTCTCACACGCGCACACACACACACACACACACACACGAGACCACCTTCCTTGCCGTGCCGTAGGGAGCAGAGTGTGCAGAAACGAGCTTTTGAAGGAAATGTGGATGTAGTGAGAGAAGGGTGCCTGCCGACACTAGGTGGCAAGATTCAATTAGGGTTCCAGCAGGCCTAGCCTCTGGGAGGCAGCAAGCCCTCGGCAGTCTGCAGTGAGCCGCCTCGCTGAGGTGGGCACCTGGCCTGTGTGGCGGGTGGCAGCACCTCTAAAGCCTCCATTTGTTCTAAACCCCCCGTAGGGTGGGAGCCTTGCTCTGCCTTTCCCCCTTGGCCTTCAGCTCTGGTCCTTCTTTCCTCTCCATTGCTTCTCCCCAGGCTGCAGGGGGGAGCCTGTCCCCACTGACATTTCTGTTCCCAAACTGGACAGGGACCCAGGGGGCCCCCAGAGTCAAGTCTGCAGGCCGCCGGCAGCCAAGCAGGGACCGCCAGGAGGGGGGTTCAGTGACAGACTTCAGGTGGCCGTTCACGGGGCTTTCCTTGGCCTTGGGGCTTTCTGCTTGTTGCTGAGCTCTAGGACGGGTGCCCCATCACCTGGACCCCCACGGCCGGCCAGGAGAGTCAACCCTGCCGTCCCAGCAAGTGGCCGTTGGAGACGTGCTGATGGAGACTCGCGCTGGCCTGGAGACCCGCTGCCACCCAGGGCAGCTGCCCTAGGTGCGTGCGGGTGCGGGCGCGCGTGCCAGCGAAGGGACCGGCGCCCGGCGGGCGGCTGGATGCCAGGCTGGTTCACGCCCCGGGGGCCTCCGGCTCCGAGGGTGAGTTCGGCAATCCGCTGTGCGGTACGTGTGCTCTCGGCCTGCCAACAGACTCACTTCCCTTCTATGAAAAAATCATCAGAAAACGAAAACAGAAGTTGTGGTGTCTGCGGGAGGTGTCCCCACCCAGTCAGGTGACGCCGCGCAGGGGCCCTCGGACCCGGGCCGGACATTGTGGCGGGGCGCGGCGCGCGCCGAGGGGAGCTCTTTCTCCACGCATTGTGCGCGAGCAGGTGCTGCCCGCATTACCATACAGCTGAGCGCACAAAGACCCAGTGATCCGGCCTCGCACAATGACAGCCGCCTCAATGACAGCCCGGGACCGCGCGCGGCGGACTCACTTCGCCCCGGCGCGGGGAGCCGGAGGGGCGCGGGCCCGGGGTCCGGCCGGGGGCGCCGCGCGAGCCGCTCGCGTCCCGGCCGGCGCGGGCGGCGCTGCCCCGAGCGCGGGGCGGGCGGGCGGGCGGGGAGCGCGCGCGCCGCGGCCGGGCTCGCGCGGGGCCGCGGCGGGCGCGGGCCGGGCGCGCCCCGGGCGCCCCGGGCGCGCCGCGCGGCCCTGCCCATTGTGCCCCCCGGCCGCCTCCCCGGCGGGCGCGGGTCCGAGCGGCGGCGGGGGGCGCGGGCGCGCCGCCGGTTTCGCAGGAATGTAAATGAGCGCGTTTTGTGCGGCGGTGGGGGCGGGGAGGAGTTGCACATTTTACAGCTCACTGACCATTTGGCGAGCCATTGAGCGGAGGGCTTGGAAAAGTGGCTCCTTTGTGACAGCGCTCGCCAGATTGGGGGGCTGCTCATTTGCATCTCATTAGGCATGCGGGCGGCCGGCGGGATATAAGCGCGCGGCGCCGGCCGCGGCCAGATCGGCGGCGCGCACCGCGGAGCCCGGCGCAGGGCGCTCGCGCAGGACGCGGCGTGGCGACGTGCATGGCCCTGGCCGCGCCGGCCCGGGGGACGCCAGTCTTCGCCGCGGCGGCCGAGTGACGCGGCCCGGTCCGGGCGCCCCCCGCGCCGCGCCGAGCCCCCGCCCCGCCGCGCGGGCTGACCCGCGGCCCGTCGCGCGTGGGCGCCGTGCGCGCCGCGCCGCGCCGCGGGGCCGGCTCGGCCTCACCTGCCCGGCGTCCCGCGGGGGCAGCATGGGCCGTCGGGCCGCGCTGGCCCTCGCCGTGCTCTCGGCCCTGCTGTGCCAGGTAGGGTCGCGCGCCGGCGCCGGCGCCGGGCGGGGGGCGCGGGCCCGGCCCCGCCCGCGCTCAGCCGCCTCCCCCGCAGGTCTGGAGCTCGGGGGTCTTCGAGCTGAAGCTGCAGGAGTTCGTGAACAGGAAGGGGCTGCCGGGCAACCGCAGCTGCTGCCGCGGGGGCGCGGGCCCGCCGTGCGCCTGCAGGACCTTCTTCCGCGTGTGCCTCAAGCACTACCAGAGCAGCGTGTCCCCCGAGCCGCCCTGCACCTACGGCAGCTTCGTCACGCCCGTGCTGGGCACCGGCTCCTTCAGCCTGCCCGACGGCGCGGGCAGCGACCCCGCCTTCAGCAACCCCATCCGCTTCCCCTTCGGCTTCACCTGGCCGGTGAGCTGAGCGGCGGCGCCCGCGCCGCGCCCCCGCGGGAGGGCAGCGGCCGGCCCGCCCTGACGCGCCCCTCCTCCGCAGGGCACCTTCTCGCTGATCATCGAGGCGCTGCACGCCGACTCCCCGGACGACCTGACCACGGGTAACGCGCCCCGGCCCCGCGCCCCGCGCCCCGCGCCCCGGCCCCCCGCGCCCCGGCCCCGCGCCCCGCGCCCCGGCCCCGCGCCCCGCGCCCCGCGGTCACGCGCCGCCTCCCCGCAGAGAACCCCGACCGGCTCATCAGCCGCCTGGCCACGCAGCGGCACCTGACGGTGGGCGAGGAGTGGTCGCAGGACCTGCACAGCAGCGGCCGCACCGACCTCAAGTACTCCTACCGCTTCGTGTGCGACGAGCACTACTACGGGGAGGGCTGCTCCGTCTTCTGCCGGCCCCGGGACGACGCCTTCGGCCACTTCACGTGCGGGGAGCGCGGGGAGAAGGTCTGCGACCCCGGCTGGAAGGGCCAGTACTGCACCGAACGTGAGTCCCTGCCGCGGCCCGGAGCCCCAGGGCACGTCCCACAGTGCGACGTCGGCTCGGGAGCAGGCGGGGGACGGGAAGTCAGCCCTGCCGCTGGCCTGCGTGCGCGTGTGTGCGTGAGCGCGTGGGCATGTGCCAGTGAGGGGACACGGGCGCCCCGGAGCCAGAGGCAGAGGGTGTGACGGGCGAGTCCCCTACCACAGTCTGGGGATTCCCTGTCCCTCCTGGGAGCTGGGGTGCAGACAGCCGTGAGAATGAGCCGGCACCGGTGCTGGGCACTCACGCCCTGGCACTGTCCCTGCCTGGGGCTTCCTGGAGAACCTGTGCCGAGACTGGCTGGGCGGGTGGGCCTGCCTGCACCCGGGGCCACTGTGAGAGGGACCCCAGCACGCCCGGGGCCCTGGCCCTGCAGGCCTGCTTCCCCTGGGCCTCCATGGCCTCTGGCTGCAGCTGTCCAGGTGGTGAGTTCCCTGGGGGGTCTGGGCGCCCTGGCTTTGCTTCTGTGCTGGACAGGGGGCTCAGCACCACAGTGCTGGAGTGCTCCGTATGTGTCGGCTCAGACCGCGGGGCTGGGCTGCTGGCCTCCCGCCCCAGGCCCTCTGTCCCGGCTGCCTTTCCTCCCTGTTCTTCCTCGCCGTGGGGTAGCCATAAACTTCAACTTTTTTTCCCTCTTATTCAAACACTGGAGGGCTCTCCCCGCCCCCAGCTCACGCGTGCCGTAGATTAGATCTCTGGGGATAGGCGGCAGGGCCACACGCCAGTCCCCATTGGCGGAGAGGGCGTGTGTGACTGTGTGTGTGTGTGTCTGTGCGCGTGTGCGTGCGTGTGTGCGCGCTGGGGTGTGTGTGAGGGGGCACAGGGGGTGGGGGGAGGCCGGTATTGTTGCACTAGGGCAGCTGCTGGAGAGAACAGACAATAGGGCAGCTGTCTGCCCTGGTACTCTGCATACCAGCTGTCCACCCTTATCTACACACACACTTTCTGGGTATTAAGAGGTGGAGCTTTGCTCATAGAATTGGGAAGTGGGGGAGGAGGGGGGAAGGACTTCTGACCCTCTCTCTGAAGAAAAGGGGGTGGGTGGGGGCGGGGGCTTCCGCGCCCTTTTGTCCTTGAGGCACTGTGTTAAGAAGAATGCTGGTCCCTGGGCGAGTGAAGCCCCGGGCAGGCGGGAGGCTGAGCAAGCGCCCGACAGAGACAGACTTGGTGGGCAGGGTGCCTGGGTGGGGCCTGACCTGTGCCCTCTCTCGCAGCACTCTGCTTACCGGGATGTGACGAGCAGCACGGGTTCTGTGAGAAGCCTGGGGAGTGCAAGTAAGTTAGGGGACTGGCTCGGGTTTGCTTGCTGGTTCCCCTGCCTGTCCCTCGCCTCTGATGCGGTGCTTGCCGGCTCTGATGTGCTGTCAGGCCGGCTCGCTGGCTGTGCTGTCCCTGGCCAGGAGTCGGGGTCCCGGGCTGTCGTTCACTCCAGATCCCGGTGGCTATGCCTGGGGACCCGGAGGGCCCCAGAGCAGGGAAGGGATTATCCCGTCCAGGGCTGCTCCAGTGGGCTGGAGCCTTTGAACCGCCCAGAGGGTCTCTGGCCCACACCCTGGGGACAGGACCTCCCGAGTGGGCTTCCTCTGGGCGGGACTGCGTGTGGGGGCTTGAGGGACCCACCGCTGCCGGGGGCCTGGGGAGACAGGCTCTGTGGTGGGCTGCCCCCCGCACTGCCTGACACTCTGCCCTCAGGTGCAGAGTGGGCTGGCAGGGCCGCTACTGTGACCAGTGCATCCGGTACCCAGGCTGTCTCCATGGCACCTGCCAGCAGCCGTGGCAGTGCAACTGCCAGGAAGGCTGGGGGGGGCTTTTCTGCAACCAGGGTAAGGCCCAGCCCTGCGGTGCCCCGGGGAGGGGACAGCGCCCGGGAAGGCGCCGAGCCTCCTCCTCCTCCTCTGCTTCCTCGCAGACCTCAACTACTGCACACACCACAGGCCGTGCAAGAACGGGGCCACCTGCACCAACACGGGCCAGGGCAGCTACACGTGCTCCTGCCAGCCCGGGTACACAGGGGCCACCTGCGAGACCGAGGTGGACGAGTGTGCGCCCGGCCCCTGCAGAAACGGAGGCAGCTGCACGGTGCGTGGCTCTCTCTGCTGTGTGGATGCGGGAGGGGTGGTGAGGACCACCTGCGAGGCCCTCCTCTCTGTCCCGCAGGACCTCGAGAACGGCTACTCCTGCAGCTGCCCTCCGGGCTTCTACGGCCGGGTCTGCGAGCTGAGCGCCATGGCATGTGCCGACGGCCCGTGCTTCAACGGGGGACGTTGCACGGACAACCCCGGGGGAGGCTACAGCTGCCGCTGCCCGGCCGGCTTCTCTGGCTTCAACTGTGAGAAGAAGGTGGACCCGTGCAGCTCCGAGCCCTGCTCCAACGGTGAGAGCCGAGCCCCGTCCCCAGGGCAGAGAGCTCCCGGCCTGCCCCTGGCCCCAGCCTCTGTCTGCCCATGCCTCTGCGGACGCCGCCCGCAGCCACTGGGTGGCCACTGGCATGTCTGTGCGTGGGCAGGGGGCTGCCGATGAGTGGGTGGGATGCCCAGGGCACCTTTGCAGAGAGGGAACTTGGGCCTCAGCCAGACTGTCCAGCTGCTCTTGACAGAGACCCCCGAGCAGTCCTGGGCCCTGTCGTGCCCACGAGGAGGGTGTCTACGTGCCGCAAAGGCCTCCCTGGTCCTTCCCTGCTTTCTGCTCCCAGCCCTCTTTATCTCAAAAGTCTCTGGGTGGGCACCACCTTCTCTGGTACCTCAGTTTCCCATCAGTCAGCTTGTCACTCGCTGGGCTTGAGGACAGGTGGTGCCTTTGCAGGCTGCATGCCCCTGCACTGGTGCTGCCTGCTGACTCCCGTTGGAGGCATTGGGGATGGGGTGGTGGGTTTGGGCGATACATGGCTGTCCAGGGGTCTGGGGGCCGAAGGGCAGGCTGCATGCGTGGCCCGGGTCTGCAGGGCGGGCAAGGCCAGGTCGTGTGCTCAACCCCCCAGATCTGTGGGGTGGGGAGCCCGGCTGTGAGTGCAGTCGCAGGCAGGTGAGGCTGGCTGTGTGCGCCTGGGGGTTTGCAGGCAGGCAGGCGAGGACAGCTGCCTGTGTGTCCGGGGCCTGTGGGGTGGGGCTGCGAGCCTCCAAGTGACCGGCCCTCCTCACCTCCCCCAGGTGCGCAGTGTGTGGACCTGGGCGGCACGTACTTGTGCCGCTGCCGGCCCGGCTTCTCGGGGCGCCACTGCACGGACAACATAGACGACTGTGCCCCGTCCCCGTGTGCCAATGGGGGCACGTGCCGGGACGGCGTGAACGAGTTCTCCTGTACCTGCCCGCCCGGGTACACGGGCCCGAGCTGCAGCGCCCCGGTCAGCAGCTGCGAGCACGCGCCCTGCCACAACGGAGCCACGTGCCACCAGCGGGACGGCCGCTACGTGTGCGCCTGTGCCCGTGGCTACGGCGGCCCCAACTGCCAGTTTCTGCTGCCCGAGCCGGAGCCCGGGGCCCCGTCGGAGAAGTACGTGGAGGGCCAGGCCGGGCCCTTCCCCTGGGTGGCCGTGTGTGCCGGCGCCGTCCTGGTCCTCATGCTGCTGCTGGGCTGTGCGGCTGGCGTGGTCTGTGTGCGGCTGCGGCTGCAGAAGCGCCGACCCCCCGCCGACCCCTGCCGGTCCGAGACGGAGACCATGAACAACCTGGCCAGCTGCCAGCGCGAGAAGGACATCGCGGTCAGCGTGATCGGGCCCACGCAGATCAAGAACACCAACAAGAAGGCCGAGCTGCACGGGGAGCACGGTGCCCAGCCCGGCCTCCCAGCACGCTGCCCAGCCGTGGACTACAACCTGGTGCCCGCTGGCACCGAGAAGGACCGGGCCCCCCGTGGGTGCGTGCCAGGGCCGGGCCGGGCGGGGGGCGCCCCGCGGGCACCGCTTACTGTGCTCTCCTGTGCGGCCCGCAGGGGGGACGCGGCTGAGAGGCGACGGCCGGATGTGGCGTTCGCGCTGTCCAAGGACACCAAGTACCAGTCGGTGTTTGTCATCTCGGAGGAGAAGGACGAGTGCGTGATAGCCACCGAGGTCAGTGCCCGTGTGGGCGGCGCGGGGTGGGCGGGAGGCCGTGCCCGTGCTGAGCGCTTCCTCCCCACGGGCCCCTCCAGGTGTGACGGCGCAGCCCGGCCGGCCCGACTCTGGACTGGGTACTCCCAAGGATTTAAGCCCCCTGAATGCTGCTGAAAGTCGCGGGAGCCTCCCGGCGCGCCCGCTGCTCTGCCCCGGCCAGCAGGCACTCTCCGTTGCACTATGGACCCTTGCTTTTTACAGAGATATATTTAGATGAGCGACTGAACTCCACACGGGGTGCGCACTGCCTGAGTGTATATTTTGGATTCTTATGAGCCAGTCTTTTCTTGAATTAGAATCACGAACACTGCCTTTATCGTCCTTTTTGATACTAAAATGTGTTTTTCTAGGTGGAGAAAGATGTGTGTTATTTTTTTGGACCTGTAAAAATATTTTCCATGATATCTGTAAAGCTTGAGTATTTTGTGATGTTCATTTTTTATAATTTAAATCTTTGGTAAATATGTATAAAGGCACTTCGGGTCTATGTGACTATATTTTTTGTATATAAATGTATTTATGAAATATTGTGCAAATGTTATTTGAGGTTTTTCTACTGTTTTGTTAATGAAGAAAATCCTTTTTAAGATATTTTTCCAAATAAATATTATGAATGGCAACCAGAGACCCACTGGCTTGCTCTGCTCATTGCCGCACAGAACGGCTTGATCTCCCCTTCTCGGGTTCTGCTGGTTTCGGGGGATTGTTCGAAGCTGCTCACTCACCTGTTCCTCTGTGTGGGCGTGCGGTGACCGGTGGGGCCTGGTGTTGCCAGCCTGAAGCTCCCGTCCTCACAGTGCTGAGGAGCCCCGAGGCACCACCAGGGACGACGCTCTGCCACTTCACGGTGCCACACCAGCAGAGCTGGGGGCCTGGGAGCCACCCCCGAGACTCGTGGCAGAGAATCGACTGGGCGATCAGTGTTGAGCCTTGAGGCAGTGGCCAGCAGGGCTGGGGGAGCTCCTGGCCTCGTCCACCCCACGCAGTTGTCTCCAGGACTGGAGCAGCCCTGCCTGGGATCAGGAACCCACGAGGCCCTTCCACACGGCTCCAGCTTCCGTTCTGAAATAACGTGCCCTGTTTGTTCACGGGCTCTCACCGTTCGCTCCAAGGAGCACTGACCTGCTGCAGCACAGAAAACACCCAGTGATGGTACACGTGCTCCTTCCTGCCTGCTTGCCCTTGCCGAGCTCAAGACGGCCACCTCTCGGGAGCTTTCCCGGGAATCCTGGTGCGGTGCTCGGGAATGTTGAGGATACTGAGGCCCGGAGATGAGCTAGCTGCCTTCCGGGCCTGTGAGTGAGCAGGCTGACCATTGGCGTCACCGTGGGCCTCCACCAGAGACAGAGCTTGAGAGCAGACTTGGGGGTCCGAAAGCCCCCATGGTAGTGAGGCTTGGCGGTTCTCAGATGGCGCATGAGTGCGGGGGAAGGGGTTCTTCACCATCCAGCCACCAGTTCTGGAATGTTCCTGGAGGAGAGGTGAGACCTGTGTGCTGCTGAGCGCACACACCCGGGTGGGCCTGCGGGGGGCTGGTGCCACAGCATGGCCCCAGGAGAGCAGAGCCAGCACCACCCCCTCGCGCTGCCCACTCTGTTCCCTGAGGCTGAGCTCCAGGGGCAGCCCTGGGGAAGGGTGGGGGCCTGGGGGCTAGGGTTCTGAGTGTCTCAGAGAGCCTGTCTGCTGTTGAGGTGGGGTGGCACGTTCTGGAGTAACCAGGGAGTTGCCCACAGGTCGTGGTGCTGGGCCGAGCCGTGGTGCCAGTGTGCGCTGGCTGGCCTGGAGTAATTATTGATTAATCGTTGCCCTTTCCCTTTCAGAAGCACCCTGCTTGGATAACAAGTTCAAGGTCTCATCTGCTTTCATGGAGATGGAAAATGCCAGAACTCTGGTGACCCATTTCACAAAGGATTGCCAAGCACTCACTGTCCGTAGTCTGGAGGAGCACCTTGCCCTCATCCAGCCGGCGACCTGCGGTGAGGAGGCTGAACCTCACCTCGCCACTCTGGAGTCCCAGCTTGGCTGAGGATTTCCCGAGATGGATGTTCCTGTCGGCGTGGAACTAGGGAGACCCAGTGCTCCGACAGCTCATCCCTCACTCCGGGGAATTCTGCACGGGCAGCTGGCCCACTCCTTGGCTGACCAGGAGCTGTGAGCGGCTCTGTGCCTGCAGGCTTCGCCAGCGGCCGTGGAGTACAGCCCTTTCCGACTGTCCTTGGGGCATGGGTGCCCGTGGGACGGGGAGTGTTCCTTATTTCTTTCCCGTCCCCTCCAGAGTGCAGTGAAGCCCCACGGGCGTCTGTCCCTGTGGCTGGTCTGCCTTTCCACATGCACCCTGGCTGAGTGTTCCTCCGGCAGGCCTGCTCGGTGGCTGCCTCTCTGCATGCTGTCGTGTCCCAGGTCTGTGGGCGCAGCCTTCCAGAGCCTCCAAGTCTAGGCCCGGAGGCTGCTCCAGGCCAGCGCCACCCAGCCACGGAATCAGCCTTTTTCTGCAGCAAGCACCGGTTTCTGTGGCGGAGCAGCAAAGGTGCCTGCAATCCTGTGCAACTGTGAGCCCTGCCGAGAGCGGCTGCTGAGGCGGCAGGAGGGCAGCCTTGTCCCAGCGGTGCCCATCCCTGCTAGGGGGCACAGCTCCGCGTGCCCGACACTGGTGCCCGCCAGGCAGGCAGGTTCTGCGCAGAGATAACGGGACTTGGGTCTGCTCAGGTCCCACCTGGTCACAGTGACAAGACACAGGTAGAAGGACGCTGCTGGGTGCCACTGAGACCTGGGCAGGGAGCCAGGGAGGACACCAGGCCCAGCCAAGGGTCAGGGAGCTTTGGCCCTGCAGACCCAGGGACGTGGCTGAGAGCAGCTGAGACCACATGCCAGCGGAGAGGTGAGAACCCAGGGGGTGGGTATTTTATTGATCTCCATGTAAATTGTTTTAATTTTATTTTTTGAAAACTTAAAAATCTTATTTTTCTTTACTTGAGTGTTTTCTATGTGAGAGGTTATTACTGACGTGAAACCAAGTCCTTATCTTTTAGGGAAGATTTGTGAAATATGACAAACAAGCACCAGAGTGCCTGGGCTTGGCTTTGCCAGCTCTCAGCAGGGTGTGTGTGTGTGTGTGTGTGTGTGAGAGAGAGAGAGAGAGAGAGAGAGAGAGAGAGAGAGAGAGGAAGAGAGGGAGAGGGAGAGAGAGAGAAAGGGAGAGGAAAAGAGAGGGAGAAAGAGGGAGAGAGAGGGAGAGAGAGCAGGGAGAGAGTGTGTGCTTCCTGGGCTCGCTATCCTGCTGTCCCCTCCTCTGTTTTCATGAGCAGAATGTCCCCTAGGGAAAGTGTGAAGAGGACCCTGCATGTGGCTCAAAGGGTCAGCACACGCTTTGAGAGCTAGGGGTCTGGCTTCTGTCCCAGGCACCACATGGGTTCTGAGCAGCACCAGGAGTGACCCCTGAGCACTGCTGAGCGTGGCCCCCAAACAGAAATAAATGAGGAAAGCGAGGGAAGCTATGTGGACACTCGGGAGGCAGGGGCTTGGCTGGTGCATGTGGCCCCCGCAGGTGGTGGGCTGTTGCCTGCTAGGTTCTAGCCAGCAAGAACTCTCAGACGACCAAGCAGGCCCCCGTCAGAGCCCCGTTGCCTCGTGAGCTGTGGGGCAAGGGTCCCGGGCCCAGGTCCTGGGCTCGGAGGTGACTGACACTCCAGAGCCTGCAAAGGGCACTGCACAGCCTCCAAGGGACACTCCATGCGGGACTTTCCAGAACGCGAGTCCCAGCACGTCCTCCATGCCTACTGCTGGCGAACCGCTTCCGACAAATTCCAGCACCGAGTTCAAAGGCCGTGACTTGAGGCCAGGCCTTTGGGCTGCTCCCCCTGCGCTGGCCTTGGACCCAGCCCCTGCCCTCCGTCTTCCCAAGACACCTAGCACCTCCCAGCCCTGGGACAGTGCCTGCCCAGCAGCGTAGGCGCGGCTTCTGTGCGTCCACGTTGGCTTCCTGGTGTGGTGTGTCCAGTCCGGGTGGTGCTTGGGCTGGATAGCTCTGACCACAGGCGGCCGGCGTGTGTGGGACAAACGTCGAGGCCGGCAGTTTGCGACCGTGATGCGAGGCCAGACCAGGGGAAGGCCAGGGAAGATGGCCATCTTCCCTGGCTCCTGTCTACCTGGGCGAGAGGACGCTGCCATCAGAGCAGGACACCGCCACACTCTTCCCCAGGAGTGTAAAGCGGCTGCATGCTGGGGAGGAGCCCGTGGCTTCCTGGGGGTGGCTGGTGTCTGTTGTGATGGCAGAGCAGGCCATAGCATGGAGGATCGTGGCGTGGACCGTGAGCTGCAGCTTCGCACAGAGCCACTGTGGGCCTGCCACGCCCCAGGCTCTGCTGGCAGGAGCCCGCAATGGTTTTCTCAAGGCTCCTGTCCCACGCAGGGTGTGCTCCACAGACCTGCCAGTGGTGGGCCGCTACCCGCTCGGTACTCACTACTCGCTGCCCCTGTGAGCAGCCTGTTCCTCCAGGGTCCCTGCCGGGCCTGCCCCCCTGCCCTGGCCGCAGGCACCACTTTCTCAGTCAGCAGCCTTGGAGGTGGCGCTGTCCTGGTTCTGAGGAAAATGGTGGTTGCACATCAGGGTCAGTCCGGAGCTTGCTGGCTGTTTTGTTTGCTGTTTTTGGACCGCCCCGGGTGATGCCAGGATGCACTCCCGGCTCCACGATCACTCCTGGCAGGCTTGAGGGGGCACGAGAATGCTTGGGGATGGAATCTGGGTTGGCTTTGTACAAGGCGAGCGTCCTCCCAACTGTGCTCTGGCTCCAGCCCGGGGCTCACATCTGGACAGGTAGGGGCGGGTGCCCCAGGAGTGGGCAAACCCACCGTGATGCTCCCTAGAAGGCTGTGGTCAAGCCCCTTTCTTCCCCGAAGGCCTCAGAGCCGATGCAGGCGCAGGCGCCCAACAGGGCTGTGATGCGGCAGGGCTCTCAGGAGCAGTCTGGGGCCTTGTGGCCGGCTGAGGAACCATTAGACTCCCTGGGTCCCCAGGACTCAAAGCCCAGCCAGGAAGAGGTGAGGGAACACCCTCTGATGTGCTTCTGTGGCACGGGCTGTGCTCGGCCCCGTGTGGGTGGGGTTCACGCAGGTCTGTGCTCAGGGTCCCGATTCTCTGATACTAGCTTCCTCTCTGCTAGACATGGCCGCACCTGTCTGCACTGATCGATCGTAGTCAAATCACTGTCTTCAAATTTAGTACACGGGGGGTGGGTGGGCCCTGCCTGGTGGTGCTCTGGGCTCCCTCCTAATTCTGTGCTCAGGGCTGACTCCCAGCTCTATGCAGAGGGATCACTCCCAGCTCTGTGCTCAGGGCTTATTTCCAGCTCTGTGCTCAGGGTCACTCCTGGCTCTGTGCTCAGGGCTCACTCCCAGCTCTGTGCTCAGGGCTGACTCCCGGCTATGTGCTCAGGGTCACTCCCGGCTCTGTGCTCAGGGCTGACTCCTGGCTCTGTGCTCAGGGTCACTCCTGGCTCTGTGCTCAGGGCTGACTCCCAGCTCTGTGCAGAGGGATCACTCCCGGCTCTGTGCTCAGGGCTGACTCCCAGCTCTGTGCTCAGCGTCACTCCTGGCTCTGTGCTCAGGGCTCACTCCCGGCTCTGTGCT